AACATAATCTAAATATCAAACAACACCATCTAAATGTCAAACAACACCATCATAAGTTCATAAAACAGCATTTAATTGTCACAATTTTAAATAACAACTCAATGTCAAACAACATCTAAATGTCAAACAACAACATCTAAATGTTAAACATCACCATATAAATGTCAAACAACACCATCTACATGTCAAACAACACCTTCTAAATGTCAAACAACACAATCATAAGTACATAAAACAGCATTTAATTGTCACAATTTTAAATAACAATTCAATGTCAAACAACACCATCTACATGTCAAACAACACAATCTAAATGTCAAACAACACCATATAAATGTCAAGCAGCACCTTAATGTCAAACAACACAATCTAAATGTCAAACAAAAATATCTGTACTTTGGCATTTTATAAAATACATTTAACAGTACAAATAAGTTTAGCTGGAGCCTGCACATTTTTCTTAAGATAAAGGTAACTCTTAAATAGTATCAAAGGGGTATCGGTCTCTCAGAGTAAAATTGATTTTACTGTACAAACATCTCTTACATTACTTAATGATGTACAAGACATTCTGCTATAGTAACACAGCAATGATTAATAGTGTTAACATCTAGATAAAAATAACAACCGTCATCAATAACCATGTTCTATAGATCATCCAGCCTTAATTGGCTCTATATATAGCATTTGTTATTGACCACTTGTTGCCAATATTTACAGGACACATAACTGTTTCTTCTGTCATGTTTACCTTCTCTTTCATAAGATATTGACAGGAAATTGTGGAAGATTTTATCAATATTCAGATATTTGTTCTGTTAATAATTGACTAAATAATTAGTCTGCACTATAAATTCCTGTTGATTTTTGCACTTTACTCTTTAAGGATATACTTCTTGAACTGTAGAAAAAAAACATGCAACTATTATCAAGAAGTTAAAGGTAGCGTTATGGGAAATGAAATAATTCAGCAAAGGGGGAAAAAAATGATGCTACCATATACAGCAGATTTCTAATCAAAGGGAGGCAACCTCTATAACCAGCCCTGACTAAAACCTATTCTGTAACAGTGATCTCAGACTGCAGTGCTCAATGTATGGATGTGGACATTTTTAGCTTTTGTTGATTTTTCATTAATGGTGTAATGTCAATGTTGAGTATATGGCAGTCGACTGTAACTGATCATATTTGTAGTTGACAATATTTCTTAACACCTACACAAATATTTAGTGCAAAACAGAATACGGGGACTGTTTTACATCATTTATGTGTGGACTTGATCTTTCGAGTTCATGGTACCAACTTATATATGTGACCTATTTACATTGGTGTTAAATTGTTCCCAGATGATTGACACAGAACTTAGCAGTATTAGACATGTCGCCAGAATCCTAATAAAAACACTTTATTCCTCGGCTAACGTGCTATATAACTTCCACTGATTGTCTGGGTTAGCCACAGCTTAGACAGTAATAACAAAGCTATTTTGTGATGTACTTTTCCAGTGCTTGAATATCCCTCTTAAATGTGTAACGATTCATCTAAAATTGTGATGAAGTCTTGTCTACAGGGGTTACATGTACATACATTAGTTACTACTATTTGTTATTGAGATAACGTTACTGTGGGGATTTTAGGTACAGAAGACAATACTTGGTGGATTTACATACTTAGGGGATTCTTTATACAGTACAGTACTTAATGGGCGACCATGTACAGTATTACAATACTGATTAAGGTTACTTACTCCTCGTGATACCCTGTACAATTGTACAACACTTACCTGGTATATGCCATGAAGTACACTACTTGCCAGTGGAAATTAATTTTCCATGTTGTCCGATGAAATCTTCCCCAACATAAAAATTATTTACTCCATTTGTATGTGAGGTAGGAAATGTAAATGTGGTGCATTGGATTTGCTGTATGTGAATTATTGTTTACCCGTTGCAGTGGCTGAGCATACCATTTGCTATGACCCATGAGGCAGTGGGGGACATCACTTTCAATTCTACCACCTACTGGGTTCAAGAGCTTGACCCAAAGTATTCTGGCTACTACATTGACAGCTTTCTCCTCCTTATCTTTGGAGGAATACCTTGGCAGGTAGGTCACATGATGTAGTTAGACAACTGGTCACTAGATACAGTATAACTCCAGTTTTCACCTACAACTCCACTGACCACTAGATACAGTCAGTTCTCATCTAAAACTTTACTGATTGATATATATATAGTATAGCTCCAGTTCTTACTTACAACTCCATTATCGCTATATACAGTATAGTTCCAGTTCTCACCTACAAATCTTCTGATCATTAGATATAAGATATCCCTATCCAGTTTTCAGCTGCAGATTATCTGGTTTCTTAGATACACTTATAAATGCCAGTTTTGAATGGAATGGAGGAAAATCTACCATATCTTTCTACACTTCATATTATAATCTGTATTTAATTCATACCATGATTTGTTTGCAGGTTTATTTTCAGCGAGTGTTGTCAGCAAAAACTGCATCAAATGCCAAGCTATTATCGTATATTGCAGCTGGGGGGTGTATTGTCATGTCTATCCCGTCGGTCCTCATTGGTGCTGTAGCAACTGTCACAGGTACGCACTTTACGATTGAATCTAAAAATAGGATATCAAGTGCTCTTAGTTATCATTTCCTTGTTCTGAATTGTTAGATGGAGCCATGACTGTTAAAACCTGAAGAAATTTTGTATCACCAAACTAAGCACACCACCCACAACTAACGTTGGGGCAAGGTGCGTCAGACCTCTAAACAGAATCTCATTATGTCCAGTGTATATACAGGTTAACATGATCAATATCTATATTGATACTTAAATTTCCCCACACTGTATAAATGTACAATAAATATAGTATATTTTCTAAATTACAGTTGAAAACTTGACAAATATTCATCAAATTCCCTGTACATGTGTCATTTGAAAAAATAAAAATAAAAATAAATTGGCTATTTCTGCCGTCTTGTCAAAACCGCATAACAATGATGATGATGTAAAATTTGCCAGATCTTCCATTAAGGAGTCCTTCATATGTAGATTAGGTTCATAGCTGTTACCAAGTATTTGTGTAGGCAGGAAAAGTGTTTGTAGTATAAGTATTCTATAACTACAGGTAAGAACATCTGTGTACATATTTCTTTAGAAACAAGGTCGTAAAATGGAGGCTGTCTAATTTGCCGACCAGTTATGCAATCCATCAATTTTAATTATTTATTTCCAACAAATTTTTATTATAAATACAAATGTATATGTAAAAGATATATATTTATCATTGCATCACTTTGCATCAGATTGGAATGCCACTGACTATGCCATCGTAGATCATCGCACTGTGCCCATCCCTAAGGAGGATATCAAATTGATCCTTCCGATGGTCCTTCAGTACCTCAGCCCCACCTGGGTGTCATTCTTTGGCCTCGGAGCAGTGTCAGCAGCTGTCATGTCCTCTGCGGACTCCTCTATCTTATCTGCTAGTGCCATGTTTGCTAGGAATATATACAAGCTGATATTTAGACAGAAGGTGAGATTTGTAAAATCATACAATTTAAATATGAGGGCAATCCAGCCTTCCTAATTGAATATGATGTGGTAAAGATCTTGGGCATACCCATGAGTGAATTCACTCTAGAGCTCCATACTGGTGAAACATAATAGAAACAAAGAGTATGATCAACACAAGCATCAGTATAACCTACCAGAATGGGGATACTTGTCATGGAGGTTCCTTATAGGGGTGATTTATTTATTTGCTTTTTTAATTTTTCACCTGTTTTGAACTTGACTATTTTGTTTTAATTCTTCAACAAACTGAGCAGTGCTGTTGTCCAACAGCTTCTGTATGTTTATTCAGTTGTTGTATCATTTTCAGTATATATTTGAATGTGCATGAATTGTACACAATTCTCATGACTTACAAATTGTTTAACTTATATATTTAATAAGATCAAATTTTAGTAATCTTATAATCTAGTTGTCAACCATTAAAATCAATTTCTAGTAATCTATGTTCTGACAATGTGCATTGTACCTGCAGTCAATGAGTTAAACTTTGACCTTTTCAGGCATCAGAGGCCGAGATTCTGTGGGTGATGCGGATTGCCATATTTGGAGTGGGTGGTCTCGCCACTGCTATGGCGATAACTGTGGAATCAATTTATGATCTCTGGTACCTGTGTTCAGACCTTGTATATGTGGTGCTCTTTCCTCAGCTTTGTAGTGTTATCTATCTACAGGGAACAAACACCTACGGCTCCCTGGCCGGCTTCATCACTGCATTCTTCTTCAGGCTGTCAGGTGGGGAGAAGTCCATGCATGTACCTACCTTGATAAAGTTTCCATTTTATGATGAAGTTGATGAAATACAGTTATTTCCCTTTAAAACCTTGAGTATGCTTCTGTCATTTTTTGTATTGGTGTCTGTATCATACTCCCTTAAGTACCTGTTCGAGGCAGGGATACTACATAGGAAGTATGACGTATTTATGTGTGTGGTAAACACACCAGAAGAGACAATAGCATTGAAGGACCAAGGGCCCTGTGAATTAACCGCCATCACCCCAACCAAGGAGCCCAATGGCAAGATCAACCCTGCACTGAAAATATCCCAAGAGGATTTAATTGGAGCGGAAACAGCATATCTCAGGGAGCGAAAATCGCCCAGTTCCCCAAATCACTCGACCAACTTACTGGCTCCTCAATGGAAGTAATGCTGTTATTGTATTAGGTCAGGAAGCGTAACCTTCAAATGTCATCCCCAACACTGTCTAATGTTATCATGTTTGTCTGCCCTGTTTTAAATGTAGAAGGAATAAAAAGCTGATCTCTAAAGAGGTATTTTAAAAGGAGCTGGTCAGGTGAAGTGTATATTGAAGAAGAATCTTTGAGACGCTTTGGTCATTTTAAATTCATAATCGCCAACAGCGATCACCTCCATCATACCCGAGGCACGTGTAAACAGTGCGGCTGTTGGTTTGATTCTAAAGGATACTGGTTAATAAATATCGTTTTTAATTATAAATATTTTTAGATATTTTTTTTATTTCCTTTTTCAAGGTTTATTTTGTATGTCTGAAAAAAAAATGAACCAATAACGATATTCACACGACAGGTAACAGTATAAGTGTATTGCTTGATATTTCATTTAAGTTTGATTTTTTTTATTGTAATTCTAATACAAACTTTAATATGAAATATACATGTGTTATATTCATTATTTTTATCTCTGATATTTTAGATAAAAGAGTTACTTAACATAATACAAGACATATGACTTAAATGACCTTGATATGACCTATAACTTATATATATATATATAAATATACTATTACAAGAAAGTACCATTAACTATGTAGATCATAATCCATTTTTTTGGTGAAAAAAAGTATACAGAAGTATGATTGTTGTCAATACTGGAAGTGTGTTTGGTTATATGTCGTTGTGAGTTGACCTGGTGTATGTTCACATATAGACTTGAAGGACAGTTGATCAAGATTTGTTATATTGATTAGACAAATAATCAATGTTCATCAGGCTGTGGAAATTTGGATTTAAAAAAATGTATATATCTGGATGACAAGACTATCACTGAAATTTAACCTTGTTTCTGAACGATTAAGATCACCAACTAAAGCAAAGACTTTCTTTAGGTTGAACTATGTGATGTAATTTCTTTGAAATCTTTTCACCCATCTGATAAAAATCCAGATACCATGAACTGTACCTCCAGTCTCTGTGATAATTAAGATATCGGGTTTTAAATAGAATTGCTTTTCAATTATTTTTTCTGCTAAACATCAACATGTACTGTATACTTTAAAACTTAATCTTATACTATATTTAAATTCAATTATTATGTTTTTACTAATGTCCGCTGTAGTGATCAAGTCGGCCTCGTAACAGACGGCAAAAGTGTATGTTAAACTGCAGTGACAAATGTCCTGGTATACGGTATTGTACGTAGGGTACTTTGAGTTGGATTTTTATCATCATGTCAAGTGATGAAGAGCAGACATTTTTGTGAAACTATTAAAGTTTTAACATATTCTGACTTTAAAGAACATGAATGTTGCAAGTTAATTCACTACTGTGGTTGGTATAACTAAATGAAAACAACATTCCATATATCTACATTAAAATTCCATTGAAGGTTTTTTTATGATTTTCGTACTTTAAAACTACATTGAAATTTTTACAACTTTATGTATACATTTATATTGTCATCTGTTTTTATTTCACACATTTTTTCAATTTTAAGTTTGTTTTAGAGTTGAACATTATTGCCTATCAGGTATAGGTTTTTACTATTATTACCCTGTCATACTGTGGGTCTAACATGTACACCAGATAATCATGTAG